ATTTTCTGATTTATGTTATAATGTTGTTTCCTCATCACAAATAGACCTGGAGTTGTACAAAGTTGAAAAAACTGAAGCATTCAAAAAGTACAAAATAATGAAAATCCTTTAATAGCACATGGCAGATCAAGTTAAAATCACACCAACACGTTTTGGCCCTTCAGGCTTCATCAGGGCAAACTCGAGATGGATATCACAGTGCAGATTTAAAGTAATAGGTGTAGGTCACATGCTCACAGTGGGCTGGCTCACAGTCCCCTGGTGCATGATGGGACATGTAGGCTAAACGGATTTTAGTTACAAGCTATTTAAAGGTTGTATGGAGGATTTTTTTTTTTCAGTTTAAAATTGTCAATGAAAGTTTAAAATCCCATTACAGAGACACAGCAGCCTTGCAATTATGATGGAAAAAAAAAAACAAAAACAGAACGAAAATCCATCAACTGTGGACGCAGTGAGGCCAGAAAAACATCAGCCAATAGAAAACGAGTTTACCTCATTTTCTATTGGCTGTTAGGTTGTCACTCAAACTCCCTACATTTCTAGTGTAACTGACTCGCAGTGCGCTGGGATTACGTGGTTTACGCAGTGGTTCTTAGAGGCTTTTTCAAACTGTAAGCTTCCACGCAATTCACACAAACTTTGTTGCGACTGCGGACAAGAATCCACGACCAGTTCACCACAAAAGAAAGTCCGTTTTTGAGGCCGCTGAAAGAGGAAGAGAAGGGGAAAAGGAGCAAAACCAAACTGAGGTGATTCTTGGAGATTCCTTCCAGCGATTGCGCGACTGAAGCAGACAAAGGGTCTAAAGACTGAAGACGCATCGGTCGCTAACTTATTTCTAGACAGGTCACTTCAACAGTAATTCTGAATGCGCACTGGCTGTAAACAAGCGTGATTTCTAGAGCAAGGAGGCGGGAGGAGGTGTTTCTACTGAGGGAGCTGTGAAGGAGGGAGGTGGTGTCACGCATGCACAAGGACTGTCGCTGTATTTCTCTTCCCTTAAAAAATCCTCTATACAACCTTTAAGTTAAGATATAATACAATATATAAATAGTACAATTTCCAACAACCAATACATAGAAAGATATCAAGTATAAATATATAGAGAGGGCAAAAATTCAAAAGTGCTACAGATAAAACATGTATAATTTGTATAATATATTAGAGGGCTGGTCTTAAACAGCTTCATGGAGATGAAGATGTAAAACACGAATAAAAAATTTAGTTATTTTTTAAGGAAGCGGGAGAAATCTAACTCTCCATTGAGCCCTGGACATTGGGCCTTGAGAGTGTAGATCCAGTAGGACTCTCTCTGTAATAGTTTTTCAGTCTATCTCCTCCTCTTATTGTTTCTCTAATATGTTCAATTGCACAGATATTTAGGCTTTTAGACCTGGAGTTGTGTTTTATTTCATTCACACATGTTTAACACACAAACCCTGCAGATTTAGGCCTTTAGTTCTTCCCTCAAATGGCAAAACACTTTGTCCCACCTTGTGATGTCATGTGGTAATACAGGAAGGGGCTTCAGTGTGTTTTTAAACTCCATACACCTTCATTAGAATCATTTGGATCATTTCAGCCCTGGAATTGCCAATCACTACTAAGCAAAACTTAAAAGGTAGATGTTAACTTGAAAACTAACACTTCATTTTGATCTTTGGAGATGCAGACAAATTAATACTAAAAGGTTCCTCAAATATGTACAAATGAAACAAAACACAACTCCAGGTCTGTCTTTGAGGAGGTAACAGGATTATAACATGACTTAAAGCTCACAAGAGTCAATTATGCAGAATATAGGACCTTTAATAATTATTTTACAGCATCTTGTGAAACTCATCTTTTTTGCAGTGCACTTGCTCTCCTGGCCAGACTCCCATTTTGAAACCAGTGGCTTCAAAGGAATAATTCATTTCACAGTCTAGTGGCCAGACGCAACACACGCCCCTTTAACACCCAGAGGAGCACGCTCACTTTGGCTCAATATATGACTCTATATGACCAGAGCAGAGGGGGTGGGATTAAAAACACAGGGGGCATATATAAGGGATAAAGGTCCACAGAAGCTTTTGTGATGGGATGACGTCAGAAATGTTCATTTGGTTGCTAAGGAGATAACAATATTGGAAATAATAATGCAGAGGGACAACAATGATGGGGTGCAGAGATAGTGATTTAAAGTTGCACTATGTCATTTTTCTGTTGGATATGTCAATGTTTTGCCTGGAATTTTCCACAGTATGACATTAAACAGCTATACTTTATATTTATTCAATTACAGGTGGTTTTATAGCTCAAAAATACCTAGAAAAACAGACATTCTGACTGCGAGCAGACCTGTAACTTGGTCTGGTTTGGTCTCCATGAAGATAGAAAGGTTTAATGCCATACTGTTAATCTTTCCTGACAAAACAATAACATCTCCATGGAGAAAAGCATTTGGCGGACCCCTACCATAAAAGTTACACAACATAACTTTAAGATTGTTCATTCAAAGTCTTAAAAACATGAAAGAGACGACTAGTCGATTTTAAACAGTTTGTAGTGGCCCAAATTTGATCCTCACTTACCTTATGCATCCAGAACACCCTAAATATTCACCGCAATGAGTTTATAAGCACTTTGCTGCACAACTAGCATGCTAACACACACTTCCTGACTCACCGGGCAATAAAGAGCATTATAATTAGATGCAGACAGAACACAGAAAACTTACTAGTATTTTCACTGCTTATACAATATCTATGTTTACTTCACTCGATAGTAGGAAGGTAATTTTTTTTAATTTAACCAGTCGCTGCTATTTGGTCGTGACGTATGTAATGTGCAAAATCCCGTAGGAAGAAGGGCAATAACGTCTTTCCCCTTGATAAAATTCACCAAACATTCTTTTTGTTCCGGCTTTAAATCCTCGATCTCGGGAATCGTTGCCAACACAGAATGTCTGTCTTCATCTACATCCATCTCGACCACTTTGTTTACTGTTGTGTTGTACCACAAAAAGGGACCCAGACAGGCGCTTGAGTTTGACATCATGGCTTCACAGCTCTTCGCTGATTGTTCAGTGCGTGGTCTACAACTTGCGAGGTTCTTACAAACCGTCTAGTGTATTCTGATTCCTGACCTAGTCACTGGAGAGAAATGAAATTTAGCGGAGACACTAGGTGGCGCCAGCCTGTCTAAACAAAACTGTTAATATGCGATTTTTTCCTCTTAAAATGCCTTGACAAGGTGTAATCCAAAGAAGTGCTCAGAACAGTTATTTCTTCATGTAGTCTGCACTGACACCAAGCAAAAGATCATGGTCTATGTAGTTCCCTCTGTCTTTTTGCTAAGAGACTTGTAATTCGATCAAAATGTTAGGTCTCACAATAATAGCGTGGACCATCACAATATTATTTCGGTTATTGCTACATCCATTCTTCACATGGGTTAGCAGTTCTGTTTTAATATTATGGATATAATGGTGAATTTAAAAAGAAAAGTTAAAATATGTAATTAGGATGGCCTTATTATAGTACAGAGATTTTAATATTTTTGCATGTTCCCTATTGGTTGCAAGAAATAAAAAGGAATAAACTCCTAATATGTTTTTTCCATTATAGGTTAATATGAAAAATGACAAACCAGATTCCACATCACAGGGAAAGCAGTTTAGGAGCAAAGTGAAAGGGAGGAGACTTGTAATTGTCATAATTTAAAGCATGCTATGAGTTGTTTAGATAGAGGTCATAAACTGTTCTTTATAAGCTCAAACGCTTCATAAATCAGGGGTCCCTCTCAGACTTCCTCCTCAGGTTCAGACCAGGACTCGCTCCGGTCCTGGCCTCATTTCCTGTCAGCTGTCTGTGATCTGCTCTGGAATCAAAACACGGACGTGCCCTCAAGGAAAACGACAACTGTACTACACGGCCACAAACGCAGACACTGTGGAGATTTTGTGACAATTTAGGAGAGCAAAAATGTAAGTTCAAGATAAAGAATTTTCAAAGGGTCAGGAGAGAGAACTGCTCCGGAAATACTAAAGAGTGTACTCACATGAACGGAGGAAGCTGAAGTCTGAGCTGAGAAGAGGCAGCTCAAAATACATTTACGAGTAGAACCAAAGACAAAACCAGGACTATATCAGGTCTTAACCAGGTCTTAACCAGGACTATACCAAGACTACACCAGGACTACACCAGGACTATATCAGATCTATATCAGGACTACATTAGGACTACATTGGGACTACATCAGGACTATACCAGGTCTAAACAAGTTTAAACCAGGTTTAAACCAGGAGTAAACCAGGAGTAAACCAGGAGTATACCAGGAGTACACCAGGACTACACCAGGACTACACCAGGACTACACCAGGACTACATCAGGACTACATCAGGACTACACCAGGTCACTATATCAGGTCTAATCCAGGTTTAACCCAGGACTATACAAGGTCTAAACCAGGTCTAAACTAGGTCTAATCCAGGACTAATCCAGGACTATATGAAGACAAACCAGGACTATATCAGGACTATATTAGGTCTAAACCAGAACTATTCCGGGTCTAAATTAGGAGTACACCAGGTCTACACAAAGACTATACAAGGTTTAAACGATGTCTAAACCAAGACTACACTTGGCCTCAACAAGGATTATGCCAATTCCATTTTTTGAGCTTTGAGCATTTTATATCGTTGTTCAGGGATGATTGCATCAAATGGATATATTGGGATGCACGCCGATTGTATTGTGACAGCGCTCTGAAAGGGGAGTGACTTAACATGTGGAGCAAAGGGAAGGGAGGACCCAGATTGTCAAAAATGAAAGTGACATTTTAATATGTGTTCATACATTGTTTTCAGCACATTTAGCATTTTCAAAACAATAAAAGGCAATATGTTGATCTAAATATGTTAAGTGTTACAGTTAATACCCCATAGAAGTAAAAGTCCAGTGTATTGCATGTTTCTTACTGTTCCTTTTCTAGTGTATCAGACTCTGAGCTTTACCTTTGAGGCCCTCCTGCGCTCCGAGCACTCTGGATGCTGGCACAGCACCCAGTCCTCCTCCTGCACCGGCTTCTCATCTGGAACACAAACGTTTGGGTCATTAGAGACTTTTCAACTTAAAAGCACAAAACCACCCAGGCTCTAAGCAGCCATCCATTAGACACCTCTGTTTAGACAGACAGAGCCAGAGCCAGAGGAGGAGAGAGACCTACCCCCCGCACTGCACATAACACTCACACACACCACACAAAGAACAGACAGATCTGAACACACAGAGCAGACAGACACAAGGACACAAAGAGCAGACAGAAGGACAGAAAGAACAGAGCTTTGAGACATTTCTAAGGAAAAGGTAAACACTGGACAGAGGGAGGAAGAGATCAGAGAAACCAGCCACTTATGGACTAAAAGGGAAGAAAGAAAATCTGTTAAACTACAGAACTATACCATTAATATAACAGAAACTCACAAAATCTCTAACCATGGCACATTGAAGATATGACAAGTGAAATATTTTGCCCAAGGACACAAGAGCAAGATTTAAATAAAATAAAATAAATAACTTTAAAAATCGAATCATCTCAACCTGTAAAATTACATAAAAGGAAGTGCATGAAGCCTGTCTTTTTACGATTTATAAAAAAGCTATTATAATCATGACTGGGCCTGTGTTGCCAGAGCATTAACTTGCAGACAGAGACACATCCAAGTTTGTCTCATTTTCAGTATATGGACAGGCCATGTCTCATGTGAAAAATCAGAACCTCCAGAATTCCCTCACTGAGCTGCAGAGGCTGCACCAGCACTGCTTCATGACTGGTGCAGGAACTGGGGTTTAGATAGTGACCATTCAGATCAGAGAGAGGCATTTTAGGTTTAAACACACTGGATTTCAGCTTTGAAACTGGCAACCCAGATCAGAGACTCATGTGAGGCTCATTCTTCTTTCTGATGGAATTATCATCTTGAGAAAAGAAACACCAAATTTTAATAAACAACTTGTCTAAGACTTGTCATTTATAACCAACAATACAATTGTTACTGGAAGCAATATTTGATATGAATGCACAAATATACAGTATAAGTAGACAGTAGAGGTGTAACGATCTCCAAGTCTTACGATACGATATTGTCACGGTATGAAACTCACAGTACGATATTTATTGCGATATTTTGAGGAGGTAACAAAACTGTGAATATGCTACTTTTCCCCCTTTAAATGCCTTGACAAGACTTAATCTAAAGAACTAAGACTTAAAAGTGCTTAGAACTGTTATTTCTTCATGTAGTCTGCACTGAAATGGAGCAAAGGATCATGGTCTATGTAGTTCCCTCTGTTTTTTTTTTAGCACCATAACTCTTAATTTAAGCACAGAGACTTGTAATTCGATATATTGTGATGGTCCACGATATTATTGTGAGAACTTTGATGATATATCACGATATTTCAGTTATTGTTACATCCCTAATATACAGAGCAGTGCCAAGTGACAGTGAGGCTTAGAATTGGCTTTCCTGCTGTGAGTCCAGAGTTCACTTGGCGCCCCCTGGAGGACACAGGTGTGATGCTGTAGGACACAGGAGGAACACTTTTGTCCTGAGGGGCTGTCACTCTCCTCAAACTACTAAAGTAAACTTTCTGTTATAATAATATTCTACAGCTCAATGTCTTTAAATTGCTCCTCGTGGACAAATAAAGTGATATTGATTGAGTGAAACCACAGATAAGTCACATTTATGTGAAATAAAATAATGACATACCCTGCCTTTCAAAATAAACCTCGACATCACATCTGCAATTTTAATCTTCAGCAACAGATTGTAAAATGGTAACCCCTCTGTAACCTTTATAAGACCCTATAGAACACGATGACATCACATGAACACAATCTATAGAGAGAATTCAAGGAAACTGTACTCACTGCTGTTCTTTGCACTGGATTCTATAATAACAAATGATCAGCGTCAAATAAACACTGAAATCTATTGGAATATTTAACCAACAGTGAGCAGAGCGGGAGGAGATAAAAGCATATGTTTACATCCCAGACTTTTTACATAGACACGCGATAAAGATATCATAACACAGCCTCTGGAGCCGCAGGATTTAATGAGCTAAACAGGAGAATAAAAGCAGCCGGGAGCGCACTTTAAGACTGATGAAGGCCAAAGCTGTCTCAGATAACCAGCAGCACTCCAAGATGGCTGCTCTGTGAACATTAAACTGTCTTCTAGATGCAGATGGGACACAGCCGGTAGAAAGCAGCAAGCCTATTCAGTATTCATCAATGAGCAAATACGGAACAAATAATTCTAATCAAAATGTATGTTTTTGTTACAGCAATGTGGAATGAGATGTTACAGTCAGAGCACATTTTAGGATAATGACTCTTCTCAGTTTTACTTTAAGAAAACATATTATGCTTGAGCCTGCAATATAGTTCTTATTATCTGAGACTCCTGTGGATCAATATGTTATAATCTGCACAATATTCAACTAAAACTACTTGGATGCTGTGTTTTGTTTTTTTTTGTTTGTTTGTTTGTTTTTTTTCCAACATGACATGCAATTCTGCTGAATTTTACACGTATCACAGATTAAGACTCAAGATCAAAATAAGTACATAGTAGTGGGCGTATGCCAGGGGGTGGTGAAAATAGGGGTTGATCTGCAATAATGTCTTGAAAACAAGAGATTAAACAAGCATGAATCACTCCAAATACAACTTTGCAAGGGTCAATGAGAAAGGAAAACAACTATAATATGGTAAAAACTCTCAAAAAAAGATTGTGTAGAATGCTTTAATACAGGGGTCATCAAACTAAGGCCGCTTTGAAAGGCCCCCTGTCGGCCCCCTGTCCCTCTGCCCTCCACCACTTGAACTGGACCCATGAGGTAATCCTCAAAAGTTGTCATGGCCTATTTTTTTTTTATTACTTTTTGGCAAATAATAACATGTCTGCATCTTGTATTTTGTTGATTTTTTTCAATGAAAAAATTATATTTATATGAAGTATTTATATTTATATTTAAATAATTATATGATGTATTTAGATTTGCTGCCAAATTTGCCGCTGAATATTCATTACCTGACAAGCTCGAGATCAAACAGTGACAGTGAACGCATGTGCAGAGTTTTGTAGTGCAGTTAAAGATCACAAAATGGCTTGTGTTAAAGTGCGAAAACTTGACAGAGAGCGCTGAGGTTTCAAAGAACAGTGGATGACCGATTCTTTTTTGTTCAGTGTAAGGAACGTGCAGTTTGTCTGATATGGAAAGAAAGTGTGGCGGTTAGATAATCTGCATCATCAGGGTCATACAATTCTGTTATACGGCTGACCGGACACCGGCCCCCATCACAGTCAGGAGTCATAATGTGGCCCCCAGAGAAAAAAGTTTGGTGACCCCTGCTCTAATACAAAATGTATAATGTAAGAAAGTCACTTCTTTAATAATTTAAAACAGTAGAGTTCCTTATGCTGACAGGGCTTGAGAGGATAGTATAATATTTAAAAATGAATCACTGAATCAAGTCTATTCTGGTGCCATCATGTGATCCATTACTTCTCTGTTTAATGCAGCTCTATGTTCAAACGCACACTTTTTTCCCATCCGCTCCTCCTATAAGCTCTATTTACGCTTACATCACAAACCAGGAAGACGTTTGGAAACATGCGATGACGACTTCCGGTGAAGTTACGGACACTGGGCTCACCGACCGACTGTGATCAAACCCACTGAAGTAAATGTGATCAGCGGTAAAATGAAGATTGCATACGTATGTGCTGTTTGGAATCATCTTGAATTTGGCGCCTCGTCTCTTCTAATCGCATGTAACCGGTGCACTCAGAGTCAGCGGGGAAATAAAACTGACGTGTGGTTGTAACTGTTGATTAACACTACAATGACATGGAGATGAAGAAAACTGGGATATTTTCAAATTTTTCCTAGATTTCGTCAGACTTACTACAGAGAACAAAGCCCGCCGGGAGTTGTTATCGCAGGTTTCGAAACGTCTTCGGTTTGTGACGAAAGCATGAATAGAGTCTATTGGCCAGTCTCTGCTTTGCTCTGAGTGAGTGACAGGTGCATTTAACCAATCACAGTGAACCTTACAGTTAAACCACGTTCCTTGTGATAATGATAGGACCTGGAAATTGATGCATGAGCCCACAGTAAAGAGTTTTTTTTAGCTGTAAGTGAATAAATGCAACGTATAGAAGTTTAATGCCACACTTTGGAACACCTCAAGCAGGTATCACACCCCATCAGCATTAAAAAGTTACACAGTGCACTTTTAACATTGGGTTTTCTCAAACAGTAAATTCTGTTGTTGCAAATTCTAAACAAAAGTCTAACTGGAATCCCTTCTGGAAAACTCTCAATTAGGTAGTTTTCCAAAACTATTCCACTAGTGCCCGCTCTGATGTGGAAACCAGTCACCTTGAGTCAGCGTCTTGGCGAGCGCTAACATCGGAGGTCAGGGAGCGTGCGCGGAGGTGGGAAAAACACGGTAATTGCCACATACCACAGCGAAGGGGTCGACCTGTCTGCGAGGAACAGGTTAAAGAAAAGTTTAAAAACACGCCCAGAGACATTTTGGTGTAAAAACGATCCCAGTGGAAAGAGCGGAGGTCAGGGTTGTCAAAAGTATGGAAGAGCGGATACTAATTAATACTGAAATTGAAAAGCGATATCGAAACTAGACACTCATCTGAGCAAGCGTCAACACTAAAAAAAGTCACATTCATAGGACAGAAATGAAGCTTTCCTGAATAGCTTTAGAATGATTTCGAGCTGTATCATTTCTAAAGACTCACCTTTCTACACTGGCTTTTAACAACTGAGGCGTATATTTCTTGTTGTTCATTAACTTGTTATTGTTTTCCATGTTTTTAGTAGTTGTATTGTGATTTAGACGGTGATCTTCCTTGTCTTTTCTATGTTTGTGTCCAGCACTTTGGCCAGCTGTAAAGGTTTTAGAGTGCTTTACGAATAATGTTGGTATGGTATCAAAACAAGTATAATAGTGCATAGACTTGTTACAAACCAGTGCAAGGGACAAAGGAAAGTAAC